AAGCATTTCCATACTGACAGTATGTCTGTATTCAAGTGTTTTGGTAGGTATTTCAAGCTTTCCTGCTCCAGCATTGGAATGCCGGGCATGGACGTTTTTTTTTTATTTTGAAAATCAACAGTTTGCATTATGCAATTAAAAATCCTAACCAATAAAGTAGGGAATAGCTATCCAACTGTTGTTTTAGTTGTATTTTACTTCATATTATAGTTATATCAATGTAAATCATTGTTTTCCCTTGTGTTTCTCATTCTTTCCCTGCCATGTGGTAAAATGTGGTGAACCCATCGCTGTATTTGCTCCAAAGCAAATATTGGCCTTTCTAGTTAATATTCTATAAGTTCACTCAATGGGGTCTTGTTATCACATTGCAAATTATAGTTAGGATATCATTTGGGCTCATCAGTAACGTTTCTGTCGGGTCAAGTCTAGACGGTGAAAGACTATTATGAATGAATGAATGAAGACCTTTATTGTACATTTTGCCCCACTGGGCTAAAGACACATATTGACAAAGTACATCATCAAATTATGTTGATAATAAAACGGCTATAGTAACGTTACACAAGTACGTTCAACTTCCTCTCGCTTTCTGGTAATCTTATAAATGTTGTTGGCTGTATGAGTAGTTAGAGCTGGTTTGTTAAATATATGATACCACTGCGTTGTGACACTTCCCCGTTGCCTGTTGCATAAAGATTATGGCAAAATTTATTCATTCGTCTGCACGCCCCCCTCCCCCATACCGAAACCGCGAAGTATACTTCATTTTCAGAATTCATTCCCGGTTAAAAACTCTCAAAGGTAACGCTATGGCAGCTAACTTACCAGACGTCTTGGGCTGCAGGGCCTGATCGTGTGCTTACTGGAGTTTAGGAGTTCAAAACTTTCTATGATCCAGTTTCCAGCTGCTGCTGCGCCGAGGTTTCCGAAGTTCACGCAATCTCACTCTCGTTCCCAAGCTTTACTCACACCGGTCTGGGTACGAGAAGGGGGACGGACCAGTAATGTGAAGATGGGAGGTTGAAAGTATGTTGTGTGAAAACGTTTGTTTGGAGTAAATAATAAAACTCAGTCATGAATTGCAGTGACTTTGATATTGTATTTATTTCTTTTAGCACAAAATATGTTGGCTGTTATAATCAATTAACGTTAACGTTACACCATCGAAGGACACTCCACTGAGGGTGTGGATTAGGAAAGAGCAAGAAACGCGTTCTCGAGACAATAACGTATTGATAACCTTAAAATATAATATGACTCTATTGGTTTATATCCTATATTGTAGATGTACAGGATTTTCAGGTACAACATTTTAATGGCGGACAGTCCGCATTGCCCCTAAGTCTATTTGTGACGGTCGTAAATTCAACCATCAAACCAGAGGATCGGGAAGGGGGTAATAAATTTGGGTTGAACTTTTCCACTGACGGTAGTCCTGGCGCGGGTTAACTCGCCCCAGATTGTTCAACCGCGAAGCTCCTGCTGAAAGTGCGCCTAACCTTCTTTTCAAGATCCCGTGCGAAAGAAAATACCGAAGACCCAATTATTCTCTACAGAAATCGTCTTTCTTGAAGCTCCACCGGCGGCGAAGTTGTATTTGGAGTCACTTCCTTGTCATAATCAAGAACTCGGCGTAGTAAGACGCCTCACTGGCTCGACTGGAATTCAATTTCATCTCGTTTGATCTCTAGAACTTGCGAAGTTAAGGTTTAGCCTGGGGGTGGGGCGGGGATGTCTAGCCTGTGTATACAAGCTCTCGGCTGGAGGTTAATGACCCCCACCCCAAGATGGGGGGCGGCAACCTAGGGCGGCGGCCGCCAGGAGCGCGATTTAGTCAGGCTACGGGGATGTCTACATATACAGCTAGCCTATGACTGTGCTGCCCAATTACACAAGTTACCCTCCAGAGTTCCAGACTGTTTGCAGCGGAATTGAAGCCACTGTCTGTGCCAGACTACGCGGTGCCAATTTTGTGCGTCGATTGTTAAAGCTGGAATTCGAACATCTTAAGAAATTTTTCTTTTGCAAATATTCTAAATTCATGCGGAACTTGACTGGGAAGCTTCCAAAAATTCAAGACTGTTGGTAGTATGGTTGTAAAGTAAATATGGACTTTAATAGCGAGTAGGAAGTACATGCATGTATCACAATCATGTACCATCAAAAGCAACTAGATTCTCTGATTTTAATTGTGATATACGTGATAGACTGAAATGCGCACCAATGACATACATTGGGGAACAACTTGCCTATGGAGAATTTCAAAGTTTTCTATTCTGACCGCGATCGCGTTAGTTTGGGATGTCCCAAGATCTGTGTCTCTTGCTTTAAAAGCAGTCCGTGGAAGAGAAAGAGACTGTTTTGCCCAAAATACGACCACAGAGGAAAAGTGGTGTATCGTTTATCTGGTAACCTCCCGGGTTTACAATGCCTTCCAACACTTAACTACTGTTTTGTTAGTCGTCTCTCTTGTATTTCATTGTACCTCGGAATGTCTTTGGACCCCCTTTGATGGCTCATCTTGAGTATCATAGCCTTCTACAAATTCTTTTACATTTTCTGTCCTTTCCACATATTAGTTGTATCGTCTGCATTGTTCAGAATCGTCACCAAAGACGTTTATGAACCTCGGTTTATTAACTTCCTTCGGACTCCCAGCCGTACCGAAATTTATTGCGACACAGGCAA